TGAGCAAGATCCAAATCTCCATTTGGTGAGCTCTTACATCAGTGTTCTCCTTGAGCTTGCCCCAAGACCTCGTCAATAGATGAGCAGGGCCGAGCAAGATCCAAGTCTCCATTTGGTGAGCTCTTACATCAGAGTTTTATCTACCACTTAAAGGCCCCATCAATAAAAGAGCAGGGTTGTGCAAGAGCCAAATCTCCACTCAGGTTAGGCAAGATCCAAATCTTTATTTGGTGAGCCTTTCAAAAAGCATGACGAGCTGACAGAGCTCCAACAGAGAATGACGAGCTGACAGAGCTCCAACAAAGCATGACGAGCTGGCAGAGCTCCAACAAAGCATGACGAGCTAGCAGAGCTCCAACACAGCATGACGAGCTGGCAGAGCTCCAACACAACATGACGAGCTCACAGAGCTCCGTTGAAGAATGACGAGCTGACAGAGCTCCAACAGAGAAGGACGAGCTGAAAAAGCTCAGATAAAGAATTACGAGCTGAGACCTTACATGAGTGGACTCCTACGTAGAATTACAAGCTAAGACCCTACATGGGTAAACTCTTATGAAGAATTATGAGTTGAAATCCAACCTGAGTTTCCTGGTTTCAGGTCGTCACTACTGAGCTTCCTGCTTCCAGGTCGTCACTACTGAGCTTCCTGGTTTCAAGTCGTCACTCCTGAGCTTCCTGGTTCCAAGTCGTCTCAGCTGAGCTTCCTGCTTCCAGGTCGTCACTACTGAGCTTCTTGGTTTCAGGTCGTCACTCCTGAGCTTCCTAGTTCCAGGTCGTCACACCTGAGCTTCTTGCTTCCAGGTCGTCACTCCTGAGTTTCCTGGTTCCAGGTCGTCACACCTGAGCTTCCTGGTTCCAGGTCGTCACACCTGAGCTTCCTGGTTCCAGGTCGTCACTCCTGAGTTTCCTGGTTCCAGGTCATCACACCTGAGCTTCCTGCTTCCAGGTCGTCACTCCTGAGCTTCCTGGTTCCAGGTCGTCACACCTGAGCTTCCTGGTTTCAGGTCGTCACTACTGAGCTTCCTGGTTTCAGGTCGTCACTATTGAGCTTCCTGGTTTCAGGTCGTCACTCTTGAGTTTCCTGCTTCCAGGTCGTCACACTTGAGCTTCCTGGTTTTCCAGGTCGTCACTCATCAGTTTCCTGGTTCCAGGTCGTCACTCCTGAGCTTCCTGGTTCCAGGTCGTCACTCCTGAGCTTCCTGCTTCCAGGTCGTCACTATTGAGCTTCCTGGTTTCAGGTCGTCACTACCAAGCTTCCTGGTTTCAGGTCGTCACTAATGAGCTTCCTGCTTCCAGGTCCTCACTACCGAGCTTCCTGGTTTAGTGACCCCGAGTCACATATTTTACTTCGGCTCCGGCCATAGTGATCCAGTGTCACACTTTTTACTTCGGCTCAGGCCACAGTGACCCAGTGTCACATGCTTCACTTCGACTCCGGCCATAGTGACCCCAAGTCCTATTTCACTTCAACTATGGCTATAACACATGACTCTGTGTCATGCATTTTTACCTCAGCTATGGCCCAAAACACATGCACCGAGCTCGCCTGGTTTTAACACCAGCTCCCCCACGCCTGCTCGATAGGAAGCCGGCATACACATGCACAACAGACTTGGCTGCGATGGCTTCAGGCCGCCTAGATCAGTCGTGCGTGAGGGCGGACATGAACATAAAACATCACTCCTCATCCTTAGGGTCAAACACCGTGCTAACAAGACTCCCGACCCAGTTCGTCAACCAAACACCGAGGGGGGAGTAATGTTGGGATTAGGCCCAACGCCCTCGTAGGGCCACATGCAGCAGGCCCAACTACGCACCCACAGGCCCAAGAGGAGGAGACATACCCATGTGGGCAGCACCACGTGGGCCAATGAGAGGCTTACATGTGCAGATACATGTCAGCACTTGGGGCTATAAATACCCCCCAACCACCTCCAAAGAAGGTAATTAATCTCTACGCTTCT